ACCAAACCAGGAAGTAACAGGACCAGTTCTCTTCTTGAATGCCAGTGGGGGTATAACCAAGTTAGTTTATAAAAGTGTTACTTTCTATTGAAATCTGTACTTTCTGTAAAATGAAAATAGAGGACACACTCTTCACACATAAAGCTGATGAGAATTAATTTTGTGGTAGCTGTCCAGTACTCACTAATGAGCTGCCACGGTGAAAAGTAGAATAAATAAAAAACAAAAATGCATGTGGTGGTTGATACAACCTCCATATAATTAAAGGGAAGGGACTCTTCTTTTTCTCACCCCTGACATGCAGTAGCTGGGGACATATACAGTAAATGGTGAGCAGCCCACCAATCATACTAGTCTCACCTACCACCAGGACCGTCTTTAACGCGGGGCAAACGGGGCAGCTGCCCCGGGCCCAGTTACTCTAGGGGGGCCCAAGGCAGCTTCCCCGTCGGCCCCGCTGCCCTCAACAATTGTTTCTCCCGTGGGGCCGCCGGCCCCCACATTAAGCAGGCCACCGGGTGGGTATTGTAAGCAGGGGCCCGGTCACACACTGTAGCACTTTAACAGCGCGACCCTTTGCTTTTCGGCAGCGCTGGGAGGAAGTGACGGCTGCGAGTCACTTCCTCCCACTAAGGAGAAGAGCCGCGCGGGAGTCGAAGGAGGGAGCCTTAGCCAGGAGAGGTAGATCCCAACAGCCTTCAGTCTGGACACCTGGGGAACCACCTTCCAAGGTAGGAAACTTGTGGGTGGGTTTAAAAGTGTAAATTTATGTCAGTATGTCTGTCTGTGTTTGTGTCAGTATGTATGTCAGTGTATGTTTATGTCAGTATGTCTGTCTGTGTTTGTGTCAGTATGTCTTTTAGTGTATGTTTGTGTCAGTATGTCTGTCAGTGTATGTGTTTGTGTCAGTATGTATGTCAGTGTATGTTTGTGTCAGTATGTCTGTCAGTGTATGTGTTTGTGTCAGTATGTATGTCAGTGTATGTTTATGTCAGTATGTCTGTCAGTGTATGTGTTTGTGTCAGTATGTATGTCAGTGTATGTTTATGTCAGTATGTCTGTCTGTGTTTGTGTCAGTATGTCTTTTAGTGTATGTTTGTCAGTATGTATGTCAGTGTATGTTTGTGTCAGTATGTCTGTCAGTGTATGTGTTTGTGTCAGTATGTATGTCAGTGTATGTTTATGCCAGTATGTCTGTCTGTGTATGTGTCAGTATGTCTTTCAGTGTATGTTTGTCAGTATGTCTGTCAGGGTATGTTTATGTCAGTATGTCTGTTAGTGTATGTGTCTGTGCTTGTGTCAGTATGTCTGTCGGTGTATGTGTCAGTATGTCTGTCTGTGTATGTCAGTATGTCTGTTATTGTATGTGTCTGTGTATGTCAGTATGTCTGTTATTGTATGTGTCTGTATGTGTGTCAGTATGTCTGTCATTGTATGTCTTTGTGTATGTGTGTCAGTATATGTGTCTGCATATGTCAGTATGTCTGTAGTGTATGTTTCTGTGTGTGTGTCAGTATGTCTGTCAATATGTGTCTGTCAGTGTGTGTGTCAGCGTGTGTGTCAGTATGTCTGTCAGTGTATGTCTCTGTGTATGTGTGTTAGTATGTCTGGCAGGGGGCAGAGTCCAGGGGCCCCAAGCAAATGGTTGCCCAGTGTCCGGTCAATATTAAAGATGGCCCTGCCTACCACAATACTTTCCTGGATATGTACATGTACCACAAGGTGGCAGACCAGTGCAAGGTCCCCCCATTATATACATACCCCTTCTAAAAGGGGTTCTCAGGGTTGTTTTTTTTCACCTATTAGCCTGCTGTTTGTTACTAGTCTGGTTAGATGAAAGTGAAAATAATACTTAACAAAAAATGATATCTTCATAGTAAAGCTGTGTTCGATCATGCAACTCTGCAAGTCCTGACTAGCACAATGGCTTTCGGATACTTACAAATGTCTTATTGTGGGGTGCAGGGTGCAGGTATGAGAGTATGCATCAGACAGTGGATATACTAGTCTATAATTCCTCTTTGTTAGGCAATTAGAAAATATATCTTACCCACATGTTCATTATAATAGATCACCTATTATCCAATTAGTCCTTGCAAAATTTTGACGCAAACATTATTTTTCATACATTGTTATTTTTATCCATTTCTCGCCTTTTATTTTTCTTTTGGACTTTTGCAGGTAATTGCAGTAGAAAACACTTTGCATGTTACCAGTGCTTCATAAAAATGAGATGATCATAGTTTTTTTTTCTACAAGTTCATAACTCTTCTATTATATGGTTATTCATTAAAACTGATATTTAAAATTCTTTGTTACTCACACTAGATAACATTTCGGAATATGCTAGCACTTAAAAATAATTGTGGAATTGCACTCACCTTGGAACTGTTGCTACAATTATATTCATTCCGTTCATTATTAATATAGATTCTTTTTCACATTACCCACCCTTGAAAATCTTTACAGGTACACGAGGCTCTGTTAATGATAGAATGCTGTATGGGTTAGTTTGTCTTGAGATAATAAAGCCTGCCTTGTTATGCAAGAGTACTGAAAATAGACGTGAAGAATTACTAGAATAGGCTTCATGAGGCCCAGGAAAGGCTCCCTCATTTGGTTCCACATCTATACATTTACCAGGAAGACTTAAAGGGACACTATAGTCACCAGAACAACTACAGCTTATTGAATTTGTTCTGGTGAGTAGAATCATTCCCTTCAGGCTTTTTGCAATAAACACTGTCTTTTCAGAGAAAATGCAGTGTTTACATTACAGCCTAGTTATAACTTCACTCAGATGGCTGTTAGAGATCCTTCCTCGGTCATGGCTGCCTAAAATGCATCCAAACATTCAGTGTCTCCTCCCTCTGCATGTAGACACTGAACTTTTTCTCATAGAGATTCATTTATTCAATTCATCTCTATGAGGAGATGCTGATTGGCCAGGGCTGTGTTAAATCATGCTGGCTCTGCCCTTGATCTGCCTCTTTGTCAGTTTCAGCCAATCCTATGGAAAAGCATTGTGATTGGATCAGGCCCTCACTTCTAATAATGTCAGCAGACTGCTTGTTTTTCTGAGTCTAACAGCATGCAGATTTAAAACTGCAGGCTTGAATACAGTAAGATTTTGCTATATTTATGGAGGAATGAGGGGCCCAGGGGGGCTAGATGGTGGTGTTAACACTATAGGGTCAGGAATACATGTTTGTGTTCCTGACCCTAAAGTGATCCTTTAAATACCATAGAAGTGAGATTAGGTATATCTTCATATACTTCTCCTAAGCTAGGTAGTTACTAGAATCAATATCTGACACTAGACCTAGAAAAATGAAAAATATGTAACTGGCAGCAACTTAGCCAAAATCATTGGCCATTTAGATTTATCATTGAGTGACTAAAACTTTTTTTACATTATTTTTTTTTTTTAGCATTTCAATCAATATACAAATCAATTATTACATTAAATCCATGTTTAGTCGGGTACTTTAAACACAAGATTTAATGTTTCTTTTATATTTATTTTTCTCTGTTCACATAATTTTTTTGTCAATCTGTCTTTTTTTTAATATTTCTTTATTTAATTTTAACATATATAATTATACATACAAAACTCGCAGCATCTTGATACAACAGTCTTAAAAACAAACACATAATAACATATCATTACATAAATTTATAGCATTCATCCAAACATTCTCGACAAGGCAGAATAAAATGTATCTAATCAAGTTAATAAAATTTCCTTTTAAATTATTTTATGTTCTTTTAAGTTCAGGGAATTATTATAAAGTTGACAATTTATTTAACCAATTTTCATATACGGCAGTTTTCCTACTATTAGCATTATAACTGACACAGAGGGATTTTTCCATATTAAGTTGTGTTTTGATTTGAGTGAGAATATGATGTCTTTGAATAGACATGGAAGACCTCCAGTTTCTAGCTATTATAATTTTCATAGCTATAAAGCAATGAATAGCAATACAAATTTCATTGCTTGATGTTAGATTCCACTTTGCGTGCAATAACGCAATTAAAGGAGAAAAAGTTAACTTTATTCCTGTCAAAACATAGTAAAGATCAAAAACCCATGACCTGATTATTTTGAGACAGGGACAGGTCCACCATGTATGTATGAAAGATCCTATATCACTGCCACATCTTCAGCACGTGGGAATATACTCTTGGTACATTTTTGCTAGCCTCTTTGGAGTTAGATATCATTTGTTCATAATTTTAAAATGTAATTCAGCCAGATTCAGTGTACATTTTTATATGTTTGATTCAAGGAGGAACACCATTCTTCTATAGTTATACTTGTTTTCAGATCTTGTTCCCAAGAGTTTATTATTTTCACTGGATTATCATTAAGCGAGTCGAGAAGGAGATTTGCTTTGGAGGTGACTTTATTCACCTGATTATAATTAAAGATGTTTTCTATATAACGTGATGAATGAGAAGAAGATTTCAAAACACAGTTTTTTATTCTTAAATATATGAAGATTTCTCGATTCGGGACATGAAATTCTGTTATCAACTCTTGGAATGTGATTATCTTATCTTCTTTCATTATTTGTGAAATAGTAATGAAATCTTTACTTGGCCAATATTTTAAAGACAAGTCTTTGATATTATGTCCTAATACAATGAGTTTGCAGGTTTTTGGTATATCCTGAACTATTCCCAAAGCTTTTTTAATCTCCTCCCATACTTGTAGTAGTTGGGATAGAATTCATGATTTATCTGTAAGAAGCTATATACACTTCTTATCGCTATTAAACCACAAAAATACTCCAAATTGCTAGTCTTAGTAGCTTCTGCCTCAATAAGATACCAGGGTTCTACAGTCATATGTTTTTCTTGTAATTTATATATGTGTTTTACTACAGTCGCATAATATACAAGTTTTAAATTGGGAAAATTGAGGCCACCTTGTTTTAACTTTTTTGAAAGTACCTTTAATTTAATCCTTGGTCTTTTATTATTCCATATGAAGGATGAAAAACTGGCTTGAATCATATCAAGCCAGCTTTTAGAAAGTTTTAGGGGAAGAATTGAAAATAAATAAGACTATTTGGGTACAATATATGCATTTGTCAATCTCTTTTTAATGAGGCATAAGTAGAACAGATGAGGACCGTACAAAAGTGACCAACATATAACAAAATAAGGACGCATCATATATATGCGATACCGAGGTTCAACAGTATAAGATATGTTATAATAAAATGCACATTAATAGTATGTTAACTGAACATGACAATGTTGCATGTGCCATCACCAATTAAAGGGTCAAGCCTAAATGTTCACATTTTTTAAATTACTTTCTAAATGTTAAGACATGATGTTTATCAATAGGCCTGCACTGCTATTGTTTTGTCAATCCTCTCTTTTTTGTGGGAAATCTACATTTTGCATAGAGTGGCTTCATGTTTTCTTCTACGGCACCCTTTCTGGCCAATGGAAACCCCTATTTGCGTTATCCATATAACAGCTGTACTTCTTAGCATTCTGTTTGTTCGTATACAGAAAATCTGCAATGATGTTAGAGTAAAAGAGACTAAAGAAGGAGAATGAGATAAGTTATCATGTGTTCAAGGTTTAAGATAAGGTTAACATATCCCAGAATGCAATGCAAGAAAGCAAAAAGAAAGTTAGAGAACTCCCAAACTGTATGAAAATGTCAAATACACGACTGGGATTAAAATACAGAGTAGCAAGCAAATAAAGTATGGTAAAGGTCTAAAATTCTGATATTGCGTGTATTGTAATGCCGGAGTGCAATCTCCTTTGGTAGTTCTCATTAATATATAAATTATTCCTAAAATAATACATGTTCAGTCATTTCAAAGGCACGTTATAAAGGCTATGGAAACAATTCCTAAAAGACTTGGCATTAATGTAAACAGTACAAAGAAATGCTGAAAGAATTTGCAACAACCAAGAAAAATATTTTGTACTGCTCTTGCATGACACGATAGTAAAAACCTATTTTGTGATGGTAGAGGTAACCCAAAGAGAAGTTGCTGTAAAACTTTAATTTGTTTATGTTTTGGGGCAGCGTGAGGTCCACTGAGAGCGATAATTAGCTTCTGAAAGGCTCCATGTTTTTGCTGCACTCAAAAGTTATTTGCTACTAGCAGATAGTGAGTAGGTCCTCTGATGTTTATCTCAAAACAATGTTTAGGAATGCAAATCACAGTTTTGTACACCATATTGAATAGTGGATTTCACAAGTTGTAATTTTACATTGTATATGTAAGCAGCATTCCCCAATATTTGATTGTGTTATAATGTTTAGATATCCTTGTTGTATCTATGGGCTCTGTGCTTTGGTGTCAAGTGGACACCACCATCAATCACAGACACAAAGACCAACAGAAGCTGAAGTAGCAAAGCTAGAGGGATCAGTTTCAATGTTTTCATTCCATTTGTGGACCAAGCTGCATTATTCACATGATGGAGCAAACTGAAGATAATTATCTTTTTGATTCTGATTTTGCCCAATGCCTTTCTAAAGCATTATTTTTACATTTGACAAACTTTTTAAGCAAGGCTGTCTGTCTGTGTCTCTATCTATCTACATCTTTAATGTCCACAATCTGTACAGTTGTTTCCTAGTCTTATATTTGCTATGTCACCCCCTCCAAAATGAGTATTTCATAAAGATAAAATCTTTTATGAAATACACACATTAACTGTGTTGGAATTTCACTGAAATGTCCGAGAGTACACCACTGATGTTGGCTTCTGGCAGCTGAAGCGGACAGAACAGAAGATGATGGAGGCACCCTCAAGGGACAAGTTCAGGTAAGTATAACCTACCTTCCCGTGCCCATCATGGTCACGGGATCCTACTGGCAATGTCACCATTCGGGGTCTTTACAAATTACACAAAGACCCAAGACGTTGACAGAGATACTTTAATCTAATATAAAGTTGTTGTGTTTTTTTTTTTATAGATTTATGGTGTTGATAATATTTACTAGTTTTTATGTATTTATGTTTATTTTATTCCTATATTTTTGTCTTTGTAAAAGTTTACAATTTATTATATCTCTGTTAATATTATAATTTATAATATATCAAACAAATTATAAAAATATTTGAAATGAGATACTTTAATTTTATGGGAAATGTGAAAATAAAGACCATTATAGTTTTCAAATAATATAACTGTGAAAAGCAAATATTCTTCCATTACTCTTAGGTTTACAGCTGCCGGTCTGCCTCTTAGGCCAGAACTACTGTCCGGCTCCTTTAATAAACCTTTTTGACTTTGCTTTTGTTGCATCACTGGCAGTGATAAATTTAACTTTACCTTGTCTGTTTTTGAAGATTAAAAAAACCTGAAGGTCACTAACAAAGTGTTTTTTTTACATTTCTTTTTTAGAGTGGGTTTGGATCATGTACTCAAGAATCCTATGAGCCAGCTCCTGTACCACAGAGACAGGTAGAATTCTTAATTTATATATTTGCCTCAGTTATAAATATTTTAGCGGTATCTTACAGAGTCTAATTTCAGCTTCTTTAGCGTCATGAACCTTGTGTATTTTGTGTGTGTTTTTGTTTAACAGAACCTGAAGACAATTACAGGTTGTAAAAAGCAGATTATTTTCCTTGAATTAAAGAGACTCTTTAAAGTAGAATATATGTATTTGGTTTTAATGTTTTTGAAATAAAATGAGTTTAATATTAGTATTAGGTTGTTTTTTTTTGCCGGAAACACGTTTAAATACATTTTTACTCAATGAAACATCTCTTTACTGGATTGCATATCGCTATAAAGTAAAGAAATTTAATCATAATTATAACAGTTGTTTCACTGTAAAAGATAAAAGTGTTTTTTTGTATATTTGAAAATCTTTGCTAATGATTATAATATTTTGATACAGTAAGATTTTTGACTAATCTGTTATCTATATTTATTGGTACATTTTGTTATTGCTCTTTTTTGTTGCATTATTTCTGTTTAGACATGTAAAAGATATTGTTAAATATGAAAAACTAATAATGCTTTAGATTAATTAAAAGCTTACTTCAACCATCATCACTTGAAGTGGTTATGGTGGTGTATGTATGTGCAGTGTTTCTGCTTGAAACTCTGCACATACAGAGATATTTTTCATCGTGCGCTGGGGGCTAGTTGCACCCCTGGCATTGTGCGCTGGGGGCTAGTCGCACCCCTGGCATTGTGCGCTGGGAACTAGTCGCACCCCTGACATGTGACATTGGGAGCCCAGAACTCTGTTGTTAATTTTGTGCATATTTTGCATTTGTTGTCAGTGCTCACAGCATGCTGGTGACAGACAAGGTCATTGTGTCCCTTGCAGGCACAGTGCCAGAATCCCTTTCACACTTTTCTGCAGTTGACTGGCCAGAATTACTGCCAAACTTGTTAGAATCTCTTCTTAAACTGGACTGGGACAAGAGGCATTTCACAAAAGTTAATTTTCTGGTGAAACATTTAGGCGACTTCTATTATGTTCCATGTATGCCATAGTTTGATTTTAGGAGCAACACATTATTATTTCAGATAATAGTAGTTGCTTCTGTATTTTAAGGGGTTAATAAATCTGATTTATACTCACAATTTATTCTGACCGAGATACAGTGCTAATAAAATAATACTTGCTAGAAACTATGTTAATGTCATGATCTCGCCTTCTTATTCACTAGAGTGCTATTTTGCTCATTAGCTGGCTTTTAAGGTTCATATATATTCTTGCTAATATTCAACTGTATCATTAACTACTCAGTCTGTTCTATATTTAATAGTGGGTACCACACAATCAGTGTGGTACTGTGTTTTCCAAAAGACAAATCTTGTAATTCACACAAGCAAGTTTGTTCCTGTTTTTTTTTAAACCTGTATTGTAGACAGTGGTAGGTGGAGAATTTGACTGGTCAATACATAATGCAGGTGTCCTAAGGTGAGCTCAGGTAGAACAGTAAACCTCCTGTGGAGTATTAAGTGTCTTCAGAGGTTTTTATTCTTCTGAGGTCAGCTCCATGCAATCTCCTGTGGACAGTTGATGTTGAAACATCTGCCCTTCTAAATAAAGTTGAATTTAAGAAGCAGATAATCACCATTTCTGGAGACTTGTGCCTCAAATTGTTCTCTGGTTCTTGGATAACCGTTGACCTGCATTATTGTATTCTCTCCTAACAAATGTCAATGTTTGTTTCAGATCATTTGATGGTCCTGCTCACAACATTTACAAATGCTTGCGAAGTTCTTGTGACTTTTAAAGACTGACCTTTACGTAAAGTAATTACAGACTGTCTTTTTTTGTTGGTTGATAGAAGGTCTCCACAATCAAGCCAGGGCCAGAAAGACCAAAATAGAGGAATATCCATTAAACACAGTCAGGAAACAGTCAGGAATAATAACAAAAACGGTGCAAGTAAAATAAAACAACAGTTATCCAGTAAAGCATCAGATACAAAGCCCAGTTCTTAGGTACAAGAATTACACAGCAGATAATATTCCTAAGGACTTAACAGACACCTTCCAAATGCTGCAGCTGTAGTGAATTTTCATAGATTATTCATTATTATTAGGATTTATTTAGCGCCAACATACTCCGCAGTGCTTTACAATTATAGAATGGGAATATTTAACAATAAGTAATTGAAGTATAAAAATGAACAGAGACAAGAAGTAAAGAATGCCCTGCATGTATGAGGAAGGGGTAAAGGCATACAAGAGAAATAACAACATGTCAGAGGAGAGGAGGGATTGATGGATAAGATGAGTCGAAAAGAGCTAATAAAAGTGGTGTGTGCAACAAACGGAACAATAAAAGGAAAGAATGCAATCTGGGCTAGAGAGGTGATGGAACAAAAGATGGCAATTGTAATAAGAAAAGTGTCACCCAGGACAACCTTCCTAAAGAGGTGTGTTTTTAGTAACTTCTTAAATGACTGGAGGCAAGAAGAGAGTGTGATGTTATGGGGTTCTTATCTCCGAAGGAATGGGTCAGCCCTTGAAAAATCCTACAGATGAGAGTTGGCATGCAGGAACAAGCAGATGTTAGGAGAAAGTCATTTGCAGAGCCAAAGTTGAGTAAAGAGGAAATGTTTTGAGGAGTAATACTATTGATTGGTTTGTAGATTAGTGTTAGCAGTCTGAAATTGATCCTAAAGGGTACAGGAAGCCATTGTAATGATTGGTGGTAGAAATCATTGCAGACTCA